ATTATTTACATTGAAATAGAAAAATTAAAAAGTTGAGAAAACAATAGAATAACTTGGGAAAAAAAATAATAAATGTGAGAGATAAAAAATAGGTAAAATTTCACTCAGGACCTCTTGACCGTAGATAATCAAAAAGAAGACCCCAAGATTTCTAATATCTCATTGCTAATTTGATTAATTTTGAAAGCTAAATGATAAAGTTGCTCTCATTGCAAAAAAAAAAAACATGTAGAGAAGGAAGAAAAAACATCTTGCAAACATTGCAAGCACGTAGTGAGGTTCATAAAGTTTATCAACAAACCCTCCATTACCAAACTTCTTACCCAAGAATTTTCGTTCAACGAGTCATCACTAGGTCAGTCACTGCCTCTGACCCTGTAGCTTCTTTTAGTTGGGGTTGTTTTTTCTTGAGCTTGGACATAAAAGAGGGTTTCGTTAAGCATTTGATAGAAGAAGAACCAGTAACTATGAAAAACTGGTAGAAGCATAACGATGCAAGTTTAATTGTCTCTTGATTTCAATAGTCATTTGTGAAATCTTTGTTTTAGATTGGGCAAAATAATGAAAGTTAACGTCTTGATTTCTAAATCAGCAAATTGGATTGCTGCTTAGGTGTGTTGTTCATTACTTGAACAGTAGTTGTTGATGAGGCAACTCTTGTGATGGAAGAGCTAAGCAAGAGATAGAGAAAGCATTAACAGTGTTAAAGGCATGTCATCCCAAAAGCATAAGAAACACTGGTGGCTGTGTATACTTGTTAATGATATGTATGAAGACTTGTTCATTTCCTTATGTTTAGTTATTGATCCCCTTGCTACAGTGTTTATTTGTATTGTTTGACTTGTTTCTGTGTAGCTTTTTTTTTCTGCAAAAATTGCCATTGGTTGAAGGGGCGAATTGTCTTATGCAAAAGTGGCCAAGGAGTGGACAAAGTAACGAGTAATGATAGAGTTAACCTTGAAAAGAGAAGCTCACATGGGATTTGACAACTCTATAGATGGGAACCACGAGAAGAACTCTAAACACAATGCCATGCTATAACTCATATTGGTATGACAGAGGCTGTTATAGAAACCCATAATTATAATAAATAAGTGAGGTAAGAAAATTAACAAGATGTCATGGGGTGATGAACCATACACAGTAGCGCGATGAACAAGTTACTTGGAATTTTTAAGTTAGGTGAAATTCAAACTCATATCGATAGAACTAGTACATATCGATATAATAACTCATACTAATATCAACATAATAAATCGATATGACAGAGGCTATTATATAAACTCACAATTGTAGTGAATAAGTGAGGTAAGGAAATTAACAAGATGCCATAAGGTGATGAACCACACATAATAGGGTGATGAATAAATCACTTGAAATTTTTTAACTTAGGTGAAACCCAAACTCATACTCGAAAAATAGTATATACTGGCATGAATAACTCATACCAATATTGACACAATATACCGATAAGATAGAGGCTGTTATATAAACCTACAATTGTAATGAACAAGTGACATAAAGAAATTAACAAAATGCCATAAGGTGATGAGCTACACAAAGTAAGGCGACGAACAAGTCACTAGAATTTTTGAAGTTATGTGAAACATAAACTCATATCAGTAGAACTAGTACATATTGATATAAATAACTCATACCGATTTCAAACACATATGCTAGTATGATAAGGCTATTGTAGAAACTCACAAATGTAACGAACAAGTGATGTAAGAAAATTAACAAGATACCGTAGGTGATAAATCGCACATAGTAGGGCGACAAACAAGTCATTTGAAATTTTTTTAGTTAGATGAAACCTAAACTCATACCAATAGAACTAATACATATTGGTATGAATAATGGTATGACAAAGTTTGTTATAGAAACCCATACTCATATTGATAGAACTAGTACATACTAGTATAAATAACTTGTACCAGTATTAACACAAACAAACTGGTATCACAGAGGCTGATGATATGGAAACCAATACTCATAGGTAGAATTAGTACATACTGGTATGGACTACACATATCGATACATTAGAGACATTACCTATTTTCTCTATCTTGATCTTTTAATCTCATCTGTTCATATAAAATTGGTAACATTTGGTATGAGTCTATGTGTTATAAGGTGCCTCTGTCTCATTCTTTCCTGTACCTCGAAATCCCTGCAAGTAGGAAACTCATATTCTCTCAACCTAATAATCATCATCTCTTCAGCAAAACCAAATTCCTTCCTTGATTATCTCCTAAATACTTTCTCAACCAAAAAACCTCAACCTAATATATGAGTGAACCTCTCAACTCTCTTTCTAATCCTATGTCTGACTTTTTAAAGAAAATGGCTCAAGTAAAACTATAAAGAAGTCACTTGCAATTAAGGAATCACTTTGAATAACTTTCATGAGGCTAATAATCTTTTATGAAAAGAAAAAGAATGAGTAGAAGCACTTTGAAAAATAAAACTGAGGTGTTAGACAAAGTCAAATAAGTTTTCACTGCGAAAGAAGCAAGAGAGGGGGAAGGAGAGAAAAAGAGTGTTCTCACACTTCCATTCATCTCTTTCTCTACCTTCTTCACTGAACTTCAACTTTCTTTTTTCTTACAATAAGGGATAATATTACACTTTCATTCATCTCTTTCTCTACCTTTCTTCACTGAATTTCAACTTTTTTTTTCTTACAATGAGGGATAATATTGTCATTTGGTTCTGAAATTTAATATCAAATCAAGCCTCGAGCCTTGCAGTGAGATATTAGAAATCTTGGGTCCTTTTTTTCATTATCTACGATTGAGGGGTCCTTAGTGAAATTTTCTCTAAAAATATTAAACTCTCACATTTAAAACTAAATTAACTTCTCGACTAACTCTTATATTTAATATCAATACATATTCAACATAGCAAACCGGTAGTCAAATCTGTCTCCAACATTTAGTATTAGGCCATGTGTTTGAATATTCTTGTTCTTAATAAAAGAATACTTATAAACAATCAAAAATATATCAGTGTATATACTTTTAATTTTGGCAGTTTTAAATGGCTTTTCTTTTCGGCGAAAAAAAAAAAAATCATAAACGGACAAACAAGATGAGCCAATATAAGGACCAAATCAAAGACGTCAAATTCTTGGCCCAAAAAAAAACCGAAGAGGTCAAATTAAATACTGTCAAATGCAAATACGACGTCGTTAGAGCCACTGCGGTCCAAGGAGGCCATGGCGATCCTATTGCCGTTATGCTGGCTGTTGTCGTTTGGGGATGCGACGTCGTATTGAGCCACTGCGGTCCAAGGAGGCCATGGCGATCCTATTGCCTTATGCTGGCTGTTGTCGTTTGGGGATGCTTTGGATTTGAAATATTGAAAAATCCAAATTTCGACATGCACTTCAAACTTCACTGTCGCCTAATTATCCAACACCACGTGCTTCACCTCCTTGAACATAAAGTACTTTGACTATCAACTTTTATGAATGAATACTAAATAAATGGGTTGAATTGAATGGTTTTTATTTCTCCATTGGTTGGTCTTACTATTTGGCCTTTTTTGTACTTCCACCTACCTGTTACGTCTTCCCACGTGTATAATCCCCTGCTTTACCAATAACAGTGAATTTATGCCCCCATAATTTCATAATATATATATAGGATTTATATTTATATTAAACTGTATATAAGTTTAACTGTAATTTTTTTTAAAAAAAATAAACGTGCCATATTATTTCCAGGACTGACAGACCTAACTAATTAGGCCTAGTTTAATTTGCCAAAAAAGAAAAATGGGGCGACAGAAAAACGTTTGATAACATCTATTATTATGATCTTAATTGAAGGAATATATTCCTTTATTTTAAAAATATAAAATATTTTTAATTAAATTTCACTCCTTAGTAAATAAGTTATCTATTTTTAAATTAACTTTTATCTTTTCATATTTATTTTTATTAAACACCCTATAATAAATATAAAGTCATTATTAAAAAGGCAATGATTATATTTTAAAAGATTTAAAAATATTTTATATTTTTAAACATTTAATTCTTCAAAAATACTTTACCTCTTTATGAATGGAGGGAGGATTTCATCAATATTTATTTGAAGACTAATCTTTGCTATCTATGAATGAAGTAGGCTAAAAAAAAAAAGGTTCTATTACAATCCTGTATATTAAAAGGAATAACCAAGTTACATTATTAGATGATAAGGATTAAACATTTTGAAATGACACGTGGAATAAAAATAAAAATTTAAATCTAAATAAAAAAATATTTGATAAAAAATAGTAGTATAATCACGCATCTTTATTAATATATGCTTTTTTTGAGTCAACTTTATCCTCATCATTGCACGTTGTGATATGATTATAATAAATGGAGGTATTCCTGTAATTTGCGTTTCACTATTTCAATGGTTTTTCTTTGAACCTACTATTATTGGTTTCTTCAAAAAATAAATATTTATTGCCCTCTTTCTGTGTTGACCTTTTGCCAAAAAATCGAATTGGCATTATCAAAAACAGGGGAATATAATCCAAAGTCATTTTAGTGGAACCTTCATTTCACAACCAGGCACATCTATATTTCTCCATATCATATATGCCACTTCTCTTTGAGCATTTTAATTGCTTAAAAGGGATGGGAGGGACAATTATGAACACCCAAATCACAATTTAGTGGGATTCTCATTCCCATCCCACCACTTCCACTACCAACTAGCCCTCTTATTCTTACCCAAGCTAGCCCACACATAGGCTCCTCACAAATTCTCCTTTTTTCCCCCTTTCTTTATTTTGCCCCTTCTTTCCCTTTTCAATCGTGTTTCTCATTGCTCTGTGGGTCCCTTGCACTAGCCCCATCACTCAGTTCATTTTAATCTTGATACTCATCATCATGACACCAATAAAGTTCTTAATTTGCTTCTCTCCTTCCAGGATTCATGGGGGACTCAAGCGCCCAGGCTTCAAGCCTGTAAGTTTCTCACCCTGTTCTTTTCTCCTCTGCTTTCCCAGAAGTAATAACTGTTTCTTCTTATACTAATACTCGAATGAGTACATAGATTGATATGTGATTGATTGATTATTTGATTGGGAGCTTTTATGAAGATTTTGTGTCTGCTTCATGTTTGTCATAATGTTTGTGAGGTACTAGAAGGTCGGCTTATAACGGAATTGGTTACATGGAGTTTAAAGCTTCTGAAGTGTAATCATACATTTTTCTCTGTTTCTCCCTTTACTCCAAGAAAGCAGGAAGTTTCCAGCTGAAATTTTCTTGGATATCAAAGAGCCTGACAACATGCTTCGCCCAAAATTTATTGGAGACACTCTAAAATTAATGACAAGGTTACTGCTATTGCTCAGTGTCTTGAGACTCAGTTCTGCAATCACAGATCCTGATGTGGAAGGTGTGTTAAACTTTACCTTCTTTTTTTTTGCTGTTGTTGTTGGAGAAGCATATGTTGTTTGAAGATTATGCAGTGTTGTTGCTTTACTGAACAATCTTCTATTGTTCCTTGTTTGTGATTTCTGAATCTTTGATTTCTTCCCCCTTGTGTTTTTCTTCTTGTTTCTTAGACCTTTCTTGTCTGACAATATTTAGGCGAAGCTTTGGTTGAAGTTAGGAAGGCTCTCCACGATCCCAACCATCAACTAACAGATTGGAATTATTTTTTTGTGTCTGCTTGCGTTAGTTGGTCCCATGTCACTTGTAGAAACGGACACGTCATAGGCCTGTAAGTTCATTCACGTATAAGCAGGGCAGAAAATGCTTATGGCTAACATCAAAGTTTTTTCTTTCCTCCCCGAAGTTGGCTTGTAATTTAGCCTATTAATGTACTAATCTGCAGGAGCCTGGCTTCTTATGGACTTTCTGGAGCAATATCTCCTTCAATCACCAGATTGAAATATTTGACTAGCTTGTAAGTTGTCGTCTTGTTGAAATTGCATTTGTGAAATTTGATAATGCTTCTGTTTTTGTCCAGAATGTCAGTAGTCGTGTGATAAACATGTTGAATATTTTATCTTAAAAAATAAAGGAAAAAGTTGCCATCAAAGTTCGAGCTGTGTGTGGATTTGTTTGAGATTCTCTGCATGTGAAGCCCTTCTTTTGTGCCTCCCCCAATTTCTAGCATTTCTAGTACATGGAATGGGATATTTAAAATTCGTTTATAAGAATCTTAAGAGTGCATTATTTCAGAGAATATTGATTTTGAGAACCCGTAAGTGAAAACTTTTCTTTTAGGTTCTCATTCCCTGCTATAAACTTGAATAGGCATATTTTAAGTTGTTCATTCTCTCAAGACATGCCAGTTATAATTTTGCAGAAAATAAATGTTCAAAGAAATGCTTCTCAAACTGGAAGATTGCATGAAAAATTTTATATATATATATATATTGATCTTCTATTACAGCTAATGTAAAACTTTGTCATATCTCATATATATGGACAATATTGATCTTTGATTACTCTCTTTGCACAGGGAGTTGAAGAACAACAAGTTCTCAGGCCCCTTACCTGATTATATTGCCAATCTGACACAGATACAATATCTAAACCTTGGAGATAATCATTTTAGTGGTTCTATTCCAGCTAGCTGGGGCAAGCTTCGAAATCTAAGGAATCTGTAAGGCTGAACTTTCCATTTCTGCGTTCCTTTGCCTCATAATACGAATGAAAAATGGTGTTTGATTGGAAGAGATGATATCATGTGTGATTCAGGATCTTGAGAGGGAATGACTTATCCGGACCTGTACCAGACACTCTTGCTAATATTAGTGGGTTGGCAGAATTGTATGAACGTCATTTCTTTATAGTATTTTTATTTTCAGGATTTTGGCTAGAAAGCATTCTTATCCACTCCAAAGCTTCTAAACATGGTTCTTCTTTGTTCTGATTAGTTTTTCCATTTGACAGGGATCTTTCATCTAATGTTCTAACTGGAGATATCCCAATGCAACTCTTTTCAGTTCCAAGCTTCAAGTAAATTTCAGTGCAAGAAGAGTTTGAGTTCTGTTTAACCATGCACAGCTCATTAAGTTACAAACTCTATTGATTTTTGTTTATTCATGGTTTATTTTTGTTGCAATCATCAATTTCAGCTTTTCAAATACACCCCTTCATTGCGGATCACACTTGGAGAGGCCTTGTGTTTCTAATTCTGCCATCCCAGGTTTTCTATTTTAGCATTATTTTTGTTTACCACATAACTTTACTGTCTAAGTCAGAAAGAAGATACCTGAACCTGACCTTTTCCTACAGCTTGTACCAACAAATCAATAGTTGCAGCGGTTGTGAGTTTTGCAAGTTGTGGTGCATTAGCACTTCTTTGTCTTGGGGCTATCTTTGCACATAGATACCTATACGTACGAAGATACGCAAATGAAATCTTTTTTGATGTTTCAGGTAATTTTTGCACCTAAAAACTGTCAGCATATTCTTAGGTTTCTAATGCTTTAAAAGTAATATATACTTAACAAAATTTTGCAGGTGAAGATGAAAGAAACATTTCCTTGGGGCAACTGAGAAGATTTTCTTTCCGAGAGTTACAACTCGCCACTAAGAATTTCTGCGAGAACAATGTGATAGGCCAAGGAGGCTTTGGAAAAGTTTACAAAGGAGTACTCTTAGATAACACTAAAGTCGCTATCAAACGTCTGGTTGATTATAATAACCCTGGTGGAGAGGCTGCATTCCAAAGAGAAGTTCAACTAATAAGTGTTGCAGTTCACAGGAATCTCCTTCGCTTAATCGGATTCTGCACAACCCCTACCGAAAGAATCCTTGTATACCCTTTCATGGAAAATCTAAGCGTAGCGCATCGCTTGAGAGGTACATGTTAGGCCTGTCTTCTTTCATCCATTGTTGACAAATCACATTAATAACGTTATATCTCAATGCTACTTCAGATTTGAAACCTGGTGAGAAAGGCTTAGACTGGCCAACAAGGAAGCGCGTGGCCTTTGGTACAGCACATGGCTTGGAGTACCTCCATGAGCAATGTATTCCCAAGGTTATACACCGAGATCTGAAAGCTGCAAACATCTTATTAGACGATGACTTTGAAGCTGTACTTGGAGATTTTGGTTTGACTAAGCTTGTTGATACAAGGCTGACACATGTCACCACTCAGGTGAGAGGCACGATGGGTCATATTGCCCCAGAATACCTGTCCACAGGAAAATCATCAGAGAAGACTGATGTCTTTGGATATGGCATCACACTTCTTGAACTTGTCACCGGTCAGCGTGCGATAGACCTGTCTCGGCTTGAAGAGGAGGAGGATGTTCTTCTGCTTGATCATGTAAGGTTTCTATCTAACAGCACTTACGTGTCTATTTACAAGAATTTCTCTTGTCATTTACCAAATCTGTTGCCCTTTTAGGACATAATACTTATGTTGATACTGAATGAACAGATAAAGAAGTTACTGAGAGAGAACAGGCTAGAGAATATAGTGGATAGGAATCTGGAGAGTTACGATCCAAAAGAAGTAGAAAGAATAGTTCAAGTAGCATTGCTTTGCACACAAGGGATGCCAGAGGACAGGCCAAGCATGTCAGAGGTAGTGAATATGCTTCAGGGTGTGGGTTTGGCAGAGAGATGGGCTGAGTGGGAGCAATTGGAAGAGATCAGTAATCAGGAATTCTCATCACTTTCTCATCACTTTGCTTGGGCTGATGAATCCACTCATCAAGAGGCTATACAGCTTTCCACGGCGAGATAATAAGGCCTTTGTTTACTGCAACCAAATTTTGAACTTGTAATTTGATTGAAATTAAAGCTCATCTACCTGACGAACTCTTATTGACCTTATAGTAATTGTTAATATATCCTATAGAATTAAGAAGAGGGTGAAGAGATTTCAGAGATAGCCTGTTATACCAGAGGACATACTTCAGGTTCTTGATAACGTACATATTATTTGCAAGTACTTTCTCCACTCGACTTTAAAAATGTTGCTATGATCTTTTCGTCTTGGCATGAATGGTGTATTCTTTTTTGTCCAACAAATATGTGCTGTTGTGTTCAAACTTACTATGAATTCTATCAATTATAATGAGTATGTGTAATTGTCACCATACATCTTTTTTTAAAAAATATTTTAAATGCATTAATCCCCATCCTTTGTAAGTGGCGTCTGATGGCACTGAATTTCTACAGTTCCATCTGAAACAATTATTTTTTATTACCTTTTTTTTTGTAAATTAGAGTTGTCATGGTTAAGTTTTTTAAAAAAATTTTATGTTTTATTTTTAAAATTTAATATATTACAACAATAATAAACAATTTTATCTTACCAGATGGGTTGCTACATTTTTTAAAATATATGATATTTTATTAACATATTTTATATTTATGTTCTTTTAAAATTAACTATTAATTTTTATTTTTAATTTAGGTAGGGATTACAAATTTTAAAATAAAAACTTATTCTTTATATTTTTAACATACCCAGAGTTACAAATTAACTGCTTTTTATTTTCCTTTTTTTAATATAAAACTTCCTTTTCTTTTTTTAAAAAATGAATTCATTGTTTTTTTTTTAACCCAGTTATTGTTATAATAAAATCAAACTTGGATTGGATAAACTCGGACGCTTTGATCTCGCGGCCAGTTCATTAAGTCCACCACGGTTTTGAAAGAAAGGGCTTGAAATGCAATTTTTGCCAATTCATAAGGTTCATAACAAAAGCAATACGTGCAGATGACAAACTAAAACTTCTTATCAATTTAAAATTTAAAATTTTATATGTATTTTTATTTCCATATTAATAATTTATATAACTAAAAGCATTTAGACCTCTGGTTGAAGATATACGGAAAAAGGAACATTAGCGGTGCAATTTTTTCCCTGCACCCATGAAGAGGTCGGATAAAAGGCGAGAAAAGATGAAAAAAAAACAAATACAGTAGTAAATTTTTGTTTGGAAGAAACATATCCAAGCTCAAGAGAATCATTTGTAAACAAAGATCAATATAAAATTATTTGTTGTTAAAATGGTATCATATACTTGTTTTTTCTGAATGATAACTTATTGTTGGTCTTTATTTATAAATAATTTTTTTGAGAGGTCGTTAAATGTGATTATTCTTTTTGTCATGGCCAAACATAAAATGGTAAACTTATGAATCATTAAAAGTATATGACATTAAAAATAATTAAAGCCAAGGACATAGCTTTGATACTTAGCCTTATATATTTACTATACTTTTATCCACTCAAATCAAAATAAGTGGATTTATACTTATATTAAATCCAATCAAATCAGCGTGAGTTAATATGTTAATGATAGTAATATCAAGATAATCTATAAATGATACACTTATCTTAATTTAATTGGAAACAAGAAACTTGTATAAGTATATAAGTTTTCCTCAAAGTTAAAATATTTACAAATATTTTAGAAACAGTTTGTAGTTTGTTAAACAAGAAACCTGTGTAAGTATATAAGTTTTCCTCAAAGTTAAAATACTTAAACAAGAAACAGTTTGTAGTTTGTTATCAATGTTTCCCTCAATTTGATCTTGTGGTTCATACTAATCTCTTGAAGAAAAGACACCTAGTTGCTAATGATGATACCATATAAACAAAAATGATTTGCAAATATATTATTTTGAGTTGACTTCTATTGGTGTTAACATTCACAGAAATAGTCCATGGCTGATTTTGTTAACATTACTGATGATTCTATTCCTTGTATAGATAGTACCAAAATTTACTAGGGAAAATGACAATTAAGAACCCCTTAAGGATTCCAATCCTAGTTAGGGACCATAAAATATAGAAATCCCAATTTTGGGGTTTAAACAAATGTAGATTGTCTGAAATACCCTTGAGAAAAAATATTAAATACCCACATTTGTTCTCATTCTTACCCTATTTGTTCTCGTTCTTGTTGCTCTATTTTGAGTTGTTGCTTTTGTTCTCGTTCTTGTCACTTTGTTTTAAGTTGCTACTTTCGTTCTCGTTGTTGTTGTTCTGTTTTGGCGTCTCATTGCTGCTTTCGTTCTTGTTGTTCTTGCTATGTTTCTGTGTCTTGTTGCTGCTATCATTCTCATTCATTCTTGTTCTTTGTCATTTCTTGGCATGTCCAAATTAGCTCTACAGTTTGCGTCAATTGTCGATGATAGGTCTGCTCCAGTATTGGTCCCTATATTTCCGTCGCACCCTCTGCCGTTGTTCCCTCACATTCTTTGCCATAGCTCTAACTGCCATTGGTTGCATTTGAGGTCTCCTGTACTTTGCAATTGTAAAGGTGAGGATTTCCATCTACCTAAGATTTTCTCTGAATTATAACTTAAAAATTTTGTTCTAGCATAAAAGTTGAATGAGCTAGGTTCTTAATATTGTATTGAGTATAAACCCAGTCTTGATGATGGCTTCCTTTTTTGCCATATCCTTCTCATGTGTGATTCATGAAAATTATGTTCTTAGGGAATTGTTACCTCTTGTTAATTTGGTTTTGATCATCGAATAGGTGGCCTTACAATACCTTGCACTGAGGATGCCTTTGAGAATATAACTTCATGCTTGAACAGCTATTGGCAAGTTATTGTTTAGATTCCATTTATGATTGACATAGATTAGTCATTAGTCAAAACAATTTTGTAATGTTAGAAAATTCTCATGTTGCAAAGATTTTTTTCTTCCCTTCTTTAGGTAGAAAATTGACCATTTAAATGAAAAATATACCAACAGTTACTTGAATTATCTCTTATTTCCCAAGCAAACGTCTCTGAGCTTTGAAAATGCTGGCATTAATTAATTTCAAACTATGATGAATGATAAATCAATATATTCTTTTTCATAAGGTTAGGATCTCTTTTCACTCTTAGGAATATAACATGTTCTTTTAAAAAAAATTGATAACTGTTTTTTTATTTATAATTGCTAGAATACTAGTTAATTGTAATGCCCTCCCAAATTCTCATTTCTATCTACTTTCCAACAAATTAGATTTATAGTCACTAGGTATTTCAAGTGTCATCTGAATCTTTATATCAACACCAGTTTCAAGATTTTAGATTCTTGTAGAAAATTGAACCATCACAAGTTCTTTTTGTATGCATGTGTGTGTACAAATTGACAATACATAATAAGAATTTATTTTTTCATCCTGCGAACCATCTGTCATTATAATGAAGATTTTGATTTTGATTTTATGATTTCTTCTCAGTAGCCAAAGGATATCAATTTGCCCCCCTTTGATGCACTCATTTGTACACAATCACATAAAATATGTACTGGCATTGATATATTGAGCATGTAATCTTGTCCAATCAAACTCATAATGACTTGTAGATTTTCCTAAATAAATCCAACACCTTGAAGTTTGAAAATAAGTAAATATATGAAAAAATATTAGTCTATTTGGGTACTAGGAGCAATTCAATTATTATTTATTATGCAAATGAAATGCTCAAGTCATTAGAACTGTTTGATATGTAGTGATGGGTTTGGATGGTTGATTTGCAAATGATTTTATATTTTTCCCTATACTTATGTATACCAAAAAATTTAAATATTAATATTTGATACATCATATATTATAATAACAAAATCATCCATAGAACTTGCTCCTATAGTTCAGAAGCAAGAGGATGTCATCTTTGTGCTACCTATGGCTAGGAGGAGTGGTATGTAGTCCATGAAGATTTGAATTGTAAACTTAATAAATATTATTTGACTTACATGTTTAATGCAAGTGATATTCCCTTCATTAGAGTTTGGTGACCCTTTTGGGTTCTTTCTCCTAACATATATTCAAAAAGAGCATTCAGTTATATATATATATATATATAGGGGTTTTGTTGTTATGTTCTATTTTGATCATGTTCTGATTTGTGAATTTTTACTTATATTAAAAAATATTTCCATATGCTAAAAGACATTAAAGTTTGGCAAATTGTAACATAATTGTACCCATGACTTCTCACAATTCTATCATTCATGCTACAAATTTCCTCTTTTAGAGGAAGGCATGTAGATTAAGATCAAGGAAAGGGGAAAAAATCACTAGAAATTAGAAGTCCCTCCTATACAAATTCATCTAAACTAATCATACTTTCTCTTTCTTTTCTTCCTTGCTAATTTTAGACTTCCTTCTATTGCTCCATTATATGCTTCAAAAATGTTAATTATTTATACTCATTGATTAGTGAATGCATTTGATTAGCATAATTAATCAAAGTTAGGAATAAAATGATTTTGCTAAGCAACCTAGCTATAGTTTAATAATACGCTTCATCTTACATGTGTGTTGGTGAAAACCTTAAATATGTTTAAAGCACCTAATGAAGGGTACATAAAATGAAAAATAATTATCAAATTGAGATAAAAGCCTTAAAAGCCAATACTTGACAATCACTTGCTGTGAAAATAGCTAGATAGGGAGGACCATGATTGGAGTTTGTGTAATAGATTGAACTTGCAATCAAGACTTTTTAGGAGGCAAGACATTTATGTCCTTTGTAGTGAGAAATTCTATAAGGAAATTTTAGATTTGATGTAAGGCAAATTCAATAGTATTATTATGTGTATTCATTAGTGACGTTAAATATATTTAATAGTAGTTTATTTTTTTACCCTCGTTCTTTTTGTATACAAGACAATGGCTAAAACAAAAGGAAATTCTTTGTGGTAAAAAAGTTGTTTTGGCTTAAGAAAGTTTAAAGAGGTATATTGTGGCAAATATACAACCAAAGGTAATGATTTGAAAAAACTAAGCATAGAAGCAATCGCAGCATGGAAAAAGCTATCCTCAAAAGAACAATATCACTATAAATGTCTAGCCAAGGAGGAAAATGCTAGTGTAAAAGCATATGAGGTATGTTTTTTTTACCTCAAGCATGAAAAATGTGATGAATTTAAGTAATAGTGTTGACTTATTTTTCTTAAATAGATTCCATTTGAGATAAGGTGTTCTCTGACAAAGATGAAGAAAGTTTTTGATTATATCAAAAAGTAAAAACCCTTAAGGAATAGGGTTGATAGAATAGGTTTTGTCAAGCTTTTAAATATTAAATATTACAAGTTAGCAAGAGATTTATGTGAGGAAGTGATGAAGGCATTTGATCCTCTTATGTCATCCCTTTTCAT